AGGGATAAAACCCCTGTCATCCTACTCACTGTACTGTCACTCTGGCAGAGCTCAGGACTTTTTCCTGACTCTGAGCTCAGGGATGACTGGCCTCTCTCTAATATTTCTCCATAATAATATTCCTGGAAGTAGGAGGTGAGGGGGTGGAAGAGGCATCCAGAGGACTATGCCATGCTGGAGATCGAACCCAGTTGGTGCCTTACTGGCTCTTCTATCTCATTGACTCCAGTCATAGTTAATAGGACTATTTTGGATAATCAAAATTAATTTAATATAAGAAAGATACTATTATTTTACTAGATGGCATATATAATGGATAATATGTCATTATGTATAATCATCATTGGAAAAGTTCTATTTAAATTTTACATGATTTCTGTTTCAAACAATACAAAGTTTAGTTACCTTCTATCAAAAAGTTTAGCCATATTAGTCAAGTTTTCTGGATCCTGCCTTTTTACCTAGACTCGTGAGTAAATACTGAGTACTTCTGTTAGCCACATAGCTCCACTGCTTCCTTCTACTATTTTACTAACTGTCTTTGCTGTCAACCTCTTCTATTAGATTCTGAGCTAAGTTTTGATCTTCATTATCTACCTCTCCTATTAGAGTCTGAAGGCACAGAAAAGAGCCTCTGTTCTAGTACATGTTAGTTGCTTATATATGTTTATTTAAATCAATAAATACTTTTAGGACCTCATAGTGCCCTGGTTCATTAATACACTGCATTCCACACTTCTCAATTACAATTCTGAAATGAATTAAATCTAAGTCCTCAAAATTCTGGTTAAAAAATACAGATCTGTAGGACTACAGGGTTTGGGGTTCAAAATACTTTATTTTAAAGAAAGCTTTCCAAGAGAATCTGTTTTGGGCCAGATGACTTTGCTATTCTTAATTTATGTCTTTCCCTGTTTGTTGTCAGTTTAATAGTTGTCTTCTCTTAATATCAGTGTGGCTATCTTTGGAGTTTCTTACTTACTTAAACTTTTCCATGGACAAAAGGATTTGGACCCCAAAATAATATAAATCAGTAAAAAGCATGAGTAATCTATTAAATATGTAAGTTTTAGTGCTTTTATTTTTGGTTTGGGGTTTGGTTTGATTATTTAGTCACCATTTCAGACATAAAATGTTTCATGATTGGGTTTCAGGCATACAGTCCCCTCACCAGTGTCCACTTCCTTGCACCTATGCCCCCTCTCCCACCTTTCCGATTACCTCCCACCCACCTATCTGCCTCTGTAAGAGGCGCTCTGTTTTTTATATAACTTTTTGACACTGGGATTTGCACTATTGTTTCATGCTGACACTTTGCTACCTTTCAGCTCCCCATCCTCTCCCCGTAGTTGAACACTTCCCTCAACCGTTGTTATAGTCTTTTTCTGTTCTATGCCCGTACCCCTCAAGTGGCATGCTTTCTATTGAAAGTCAGTTCTCATGTTCTTTGTTTCCATTGACTTTGGACATTTATTATTCTGCCATTATATTACTTTATATATCATATATGAGAATGTCATTCTGTGTCAGTCTCCTGACTAACTTTACTCAGCATATTTCCAGACTAAGAAGCAAATTGCATGATTTTACCTATTCTTATGGGTGTATTATAGTCCATTGTGTATATGTACCATAACTTCTTTATCTAGTCACCTTTTTGTGGACACTTGGGTTGTTTCCAGAATTGGGCTATTGGGTATAGTGCTGCAAGGAACATAGAGGTGTAAGTTTTTTGTCCATTGTGTTTTGAGACCCTTGGTGTATATTCCAAGAAGCATAATTGTTGAATCAAGTGGAAGCTCAATTCCTAATTTTTTGAGGAATGTCGTATTATTTTGCAGAAAGGCTGGGCCAGTTGACATTCCCATCAGCAGTGAAGGAGGGCCCTTTTTTCACTGCACCCATGCCAACACTGGTTGTTCTTGGCCTTTTTGACATGTGTCAATCTCCGAGCTGTAAAGTGATATCTCATTGTTGTTTTGATTTGCATTAGTCGGGCTGGAGCCATAGCACAGCGGGTAGGGCGTTTGCCTTGCACGTGGCTGACCTGGCCGACCCAGGTTCGATTCCTCCGCCCCGCTCAGAGAGCTGAGCAAGCTACCGAGAGTATCTCGCCCACACGCAAAGCCTGGCAAGCTACCTGTGATGTCTTTGATATGCCAAACAAGTAACAAGTGTCATATTAAAGACATTACTGGGCCCGCTTGAGCAAATCGATGAACAATGGGAGGACAGTGACAGTGACAGATGATTAGTGATGCAGAGCATTTTTTCATATGCTTTTTGCCCACTTGAGTATCTCCTAGGAGTCTCTGTTGTTCTCTTCTCCCCATTTTTTGATGAGGTTAGATTTTTTTGTATAGTTCTATCAAGACTTTATATATCTTGTATATTAACCCTATATCAGTTGAGTGATGGGCAAATAATTTCTCTAAGTCTGTGGAGTGTCTTTATATCTTGGTCACCACTTCCTTTGAGGTGCAAAAGATTCTTTTAAGCCATAGCAAGTGGTACCAAAAGAGGAGTGTATGTGAGAACCAGTTCTACTTTCTTGACATATTTTTTTTTTTTTTTGCTTTTTGGGTCACACCCGGCAATGCACAGGGGTTACTCCTGGTTCTGCACTCAGGAATCACCCCTGGCGGTGCTCAGGGGACCATATGGGATGCTGGGAATCGAACCCGGGTTGACTGCGTGCAAGGCAAACGCCCTACCTGCTGTGCTATTGCTCCAGCCCCCCATATTTTAATTTTAAGTGCAATGTTATTGTCACAGGTATATATATCACCCATTGTGTAGTCTCTATGTTACACATTATATTCTCATACTTTATTTACCTTATAGCTGGAAGTTTGTATCTTTTCACGAACTTCTCCCTTCCTCATAGCTACTAGAAACCACAATTTACTCTGTTTCTATGCTTGACTTGTTAGATTCCACAGAAAATGATACCACGCAATATATAATTCTTTCTCTTATTTCTCCCATCATAATATCTTCTTGGTTTACCCACAGTTTCACAAATGGCAGAATTTCCTTCTGTCTCGTGGCTGAATAGCAATCCTTTGCGTATGCAGTATGTAATCCTGTTAGTGCTTTTTTCATTTGTTTCTTCCTGCAATGACAGGCCTGTAGGTTTTTTCCCTACCTTGGCTATTAAGCATAATGCTTCAGTGATCATGGGAATGTAGATCATTTCTTTAATATCCCTTTTTCATTTTTTAAAATGCATACCAGAAGTTTTATTGCTGTGTCATATGGCAGTTTTATGTTTTTGCTGTTGTTTTGTTTTGGGGGGCATACATAACACGTGGTACTTGGGGTAACTTCCTGGCAGTCTTAAGGGAACTATGTAGTACCTAGGATTGAACCTAGACCTTTTTAATGCAGACCATGAGCTCCATCTCTTTGAGCTATTTCCTCAGCCCCTGCAATTTTATTTTTACTGGGTGAAGAAACCTCCATAATATTTTTATAATGTCTACATCATTTTACATTCCCGACAACAATGTATAGCATTTCTTTTTCTTCGCTGCCTTACCAACTCTTGTATCTCTTATCTTTTTGATAATAGAAATTTAAACAGATGTGCGGTGATGTTTCACTGAGGTTTTGACTTGCATTTGCCAGGTTACTAATAATATTGAGCACTTTTTCATGCATTTGTTGGCCTTCTCTGTCATTTGGAGAAATGTTTGTTCAAATTCTCTCCCCATTTTAATCATTATTCTTTGCCATTTGAATTGAGCAAATTCTTCATGTATTTTGGGTATTAGCCCCTTAGTTTATATGTGATTTGCAAATATTTTTCCTATTGTCAAGTCCACCTATTCATTTTGTTGATGATTTTTTTCTGTGTAGAAATCCTCTCACTTTATATAATCCAAGAATTTATTTTTTGTCCTGCTGTCATGCATGTTTATATAAAAAAGTTTCTTGAAGAATATAATGTAGTCTTGAGCCACCATAATGATATGGTCTTTAGTTGTATTCTAATAGTTATTTAATAGTGGCAGTAAATATTTATAGAGTTCAGAGCATGAAAAAGGGAGTTTAATTTGAGTAAGAAAATCATTAGAGATTTTTGAGAAGGGTGGTATGGTTTAACTTGCATTTAAAAAATGATCTCTCATGATTTTGTAGTAATAAGGAAAGATAAAGGTAATAGAGCAAGATTCTAGTAGGGATATCAGTTGGGAAATAGTTAAATCATTTCAAAGAGATGAACAAAATAGTAATAGTGAATAGTAATAGATAGCGCACCTAGGGGCATGATAGTTTTTGTTTGTTTGTTTGTTTGTTTTTGCTTTTTGGGTTACACCCTGAGATGCTGTGCTAAGGCATGGTAGTCTTTAATGAGATCAGGGCAGCCAGCAGCTACCTGAGCAGCCCTCCCCCTCCCCTCTCAGCCAGAAGATTCAGAGCACCTGGTCACACCAATTACTGGCCCTTGGTCCCATGATCAGGGCAAAAGTCAAGAGCCTACAGTGGCCTTGGTGGCCAGCAAGGTGAGCTCAGGACCCTCACCTACCCTGCTGGGTTTGGAAGCCTCCAGAGAGCCAATCACATTGGGACATTTCAGGAGGCCACCGGGCACGTGGTCCTGGGCAGACCTTGGCAGTAACTTTTGATTTGGGATTTTGAAAACCTTATGCCTCACCGGACTGGAGCAATAATACAGCAGGTAGGGTGTTTGCCTTGCAGGCGCTGACCTGGCTGACCCTGGTTTAGTCCTCCTCCCCTTTCAGAGCCCAGCAAGCTACCGAGAATATCACGCCCACATGGCAAAGCCTGGCAAGCTACCCATGACGTATTGGATATGCCAAACACAGTAACATGGAGTCTCACAATGGAAACCTTACTGGGCCCGCTCGAGCAAATCGATGAACAGTGGGAGGACAGTGGTACAGTACAGTGGTTCAAGTACATTAGACTGGAATAGGATGCTTGCCAGTTTTCTTAGTGGCTATAATAATTATCTTGATGGATTGATTTGTTAGGTTCATGACTACAAAGAAGGAACTCCAGAAGAGAAGACCTACTATATAGAATTATGGGATGTTGGCGGTTCTGTGGGCAGTGCCAGCAGTGTGAAAAGCACAAGAGCAGTATTCTACAACTCTGTAAATGGTAAAGCATTTTTCAAATTTCTACCCTATGTTAATGTCCTAAGGAGTACAGATCATCTGATGTGGAATGTATGTCATCCCAGATCAGTATGTAGTCTTGATTTAAGAGCTAATATGTTCACAACTCTTGTTTTACTTATTTGTTCATGCATTTATTCACTCGTTTAATTTATGGTATTGGGGATCAAACCAGGACCTCGTACATCACACCTTTTGTTTTAAATCTGCATATTACATTCCTATTTGTATGACGAGATTCTTACCATGTAATATAGAACAGTATTTCTCAATCTTTTTATGACTGTTTTCTTTTCTCAGTCATTTCTGTGTTTTCTTCACTTGTGACTTCCATCTACTCACTTTTACATGGTTTTCGCCTGTGGTAGGTAGCCTTTGCATATCTTGGGGTTTCAGATAGCCCTCAGCTGAGAAACACTGATTTAGAAGATCAAATGTCTGCCTTTTGTACATGTTCCTATTTAAGTTCTTTTCATAAATTAAATATTGAGAAATAAAATATATTTTGGTACCGGACCAAAAAAAAAATGAAATTTTTCAAAACAGTGTAACCTATTTCTTACCCAAGCTGAGGAAGTATAGAATATCCATAGTCTAAGTCAATGCCCCAGAAATAGAGATTTCTTTAATCTACCTGTTAGAGAAAGTACTACTTAATTATAAAGAGCTAAGGTGTTTTAGGGATGTGGAAAAGTCACCCTGCTGTAGATATTCAGATAACTGAAACAGATTATATTGAAATTGCATAATAGAGGATATAAGTGCAGTACATTGTTTGCATGCTCTTGGTCAAGGAAGTAAGTAACTACTGTCACCAATAATCTATTAATAGTATTTCTTTATCCTCTCTTTTTTAATTTACTTTGGAAAACTTTTTTCAATTTTTTAATGTTTTTTTCAATAGTGGAATGCAATTTTAACTTATCTCTGATATACCAAAATCCACGGCCTTCCACCCCTTCTCTCTTCAGTAGATACATAGCTGTTAACTGGATCTCATTTAAACTATGCACAGATCTCATTCAGTGTTATATTAACATTGCTATTATTCAATACTTTCTTAATTCCTTAGATTCTTCTTTCATTTTCTTCCCATATCATAAGGCAAATACCATAAAAAATAAAATGAGAGAGTAGAGGAGGTTCTTGCCCACATAGATTAGAATGTATGACGCATTGTGTTTTAAGTGAGACCTATGTTACATTTAGCTCAGAATTCTAAAAAAATTGTCACAATCTAATTAAAGGAGTAAAATATTTTTAAATGAAATAAAATGGTAACACTGATACATGACACTGCCATGAAAGGAAGTATATGCCAATGGTATATTTTAATAGAATTGTATAAATGAGAAGATAGTAAGATAAGATTAATATAGTACTGAATAACTTCTTAGAAAATAGGAAATTTAATGAAGCCTGGTTTAAAAGTAGAATTAAGTGATAAATTTTATAACAACAAAATTCTAAATAAATGTTAAAGATAAGAACCAGTCACATTATAGAAACTTTATGTAACTCTGAGTTACAAATTTAAGTGCTAAAGAAGAAATCCATATGAATTTGTATTTGTCCAATTATCTTTTTACAGATAAAACTCACATATATTTGTTTTTCTTAAAGATAATTTTTTTCTACCAAGAAAATTTTCTATGCTGTTTCTGAAACATTCCTCTTGATAGAATTTTATCCACCTGTAATTTATCCACCTGTCATCTGTAATTTCCTGTGAAACAGAGCATAAAATCACTCAATTAAAATGCACTCTTTTTGAGGGAGGAAGGGTTATGGCATACCCAGAAGTACTCAGACGCTACTCCCCTCTCAGTGCTCAGGATGACAGGTAATTTCCAGTGATCAATCATAGGCCTCCCACATGCAAATTATGAGCTCTAGTCCTTTGAGCCATCTCTTGGGCCACCAAATGAAATATTTACTCTTAGTAATCCCTTTTTTTCGCTTATTGTTGTACTCTCCTCCCCCTTGGATAAACCGGTCTGGGAATGCTTGAAGAAAACCCATGAAGTGCTCTAAGACTCTCAAATTAGAAAAGTATTGAAATTAGCGATCACCCAGAGTTTCTTCGTCTGAGTCTCACCATAGCTTATATTCAACAAAGCAAGAACTTTCTGCCCAGTTGAAAGAGAATAAAGAAAAGGATTGATTTAAGGCCTACTTACAAAATCCACAAATCCTTAGAAAGAAATAAGGAGGATGGGCGGGAGGAAGCAGTTATCTAATAACTTACCTAGGCCTTTACAATTCATTTCCCAGCTCAGGATCTCACTCAGTAGTTTTGTGATCTGTATTCCTAGGAATTACAAGAAAATATACACCTCTAAAGTGAGATTTTAATATGCTGTCCTCCTCCTGTCTTTGGCTGTCAGATTACCTGTGTTAAAATTCTGCCTACCCACTCTTGCCACTTCTATTCAATATAGTACTGGAAGTAGTTGCCATAGCACTTAGGTAAGGAAAATCAAGGGCATTCAAATACAAAAAAAAAAAAAGTCAAGCTTTCACTATTTGCAGATGACATGATACTATACTTAGAAAACCATCAAGACTCTACAAACAAGCTCCTAGAAACATAGGTTTGTAAAGTGGCAGGCTACAAAATCAATAACCAAAAGTCCCTGGCTTCCCTATATACAAATTATGAAAGAGAAGATAGAGATACTTAAAAATAAATCTTGTTCACAATTGTGCCTTAGAAAATCAGTTGGGAAAGAAAGAAAGAAGGAAGGAAGGAAGGAAGGAAGGAAAGAAAGAAAGAAAGAAAGAAAGAAAGAAAGAAAGAAAGAAAGAAAATCAGTTGTGCCTCAGAATCAGCTGAACTAAAGAATTGAAGGACCTATACAAGGAAAAGTATACAAAACACTACTTCAGGAAGTAAAGAGCACATGAGGAAATGGAGGTGCATTCCCTGCTCATGAATCGGAAGGATTCAACATTGTCAAAATGGCAATACTTCCGAAAGCGTTGTACAGATTTAATATCCCTATAAGAATACTCATGACATCTTTCAAAGAAATAGATCAAACACTCCTGAAATTCATATGGAACAATAGACTCCCATGAATAGGTAAAGCAATCCTTGGGAAAAAGAAGATAGGAAGCATCACATTCCCCAATTTCCAACTGTTCTACAAAGCAGTAATAATGAAAACACTGTGGTCTTTGTATAGAGACAGACCCACTGACCAATGAGAGTTGAATATAAAAAACAGACCCTTAAATATATGATCACGTAATCTTTGACAGTGGAGCAAGAAATGTGAAGTGGAGCAAGGAAATCCTCTTCAACAAATGATGCTGGGAAAACTGGACAATTACGTGTAAAAAAAAAAAATGAACTCAGACCTCTGTCTAATGCCAGGCACGAAAGTCAGACCAAAATGAATTAAAAACCTCAATATCAGACCCATAAGGTACATGGAGGAAAACGTAGGCAGAACCCTCCATGACATTGAAACTAAAGGCATCTAAAAAGAGGAAATATCACTGACCAAGCAAATGGAAGCAAAGATAAATGGAACTACATTAAGCTAAGAAGTTTCTGCATATCAAAAGACACAGTGACCAAAATACAGAGATAGCCCATGGAATGGGAAAAATTATTTATCCAATACCCATCAGATAAGGGGTTAATATCTAAGATACATAAAGGCACTGGTAGAACTTTATAAGGAAAAACCTCCAATCCCATCAAAAAATGAGGAGACGAACAAAAACTTCAAAGAAAAAATACAGATTATCAAATGATGCTCTACATTGCTAATCATCAGGGAGATGCACATGAAAACAGCAATGAGATACTACTTTACACCACAGAGACTGGCACCCATCAAAGAGAATAAGAACTACCAGTGCTGGTGCAGATATGGGGGGGAAAGGGACTCTCATTCATTGTTGGTAGGAATGCCCACTAGTCCAGCCTTTTTTAGGAAGCAATATGGGCACTCTTTAAAATGCTAGAAATTGAGTTTCCATATGACCCAGTAATACCACTTCTGGTAGTACTTCCCTTGGGGTGCAAAAACACAGTAGAAATTACATCTGCACTTGTTTGTTTATTGCAGCACTATTCACAATGCCAGAATCTGGAAGCAACCCAAGTGCCTGAGAACAGACAGCTGGTTAAATAAACTATGGTACATCTACACAATGGAATATTATAGAGTTGTTAGAAAAAAATGAAGTCATGAAATTCACATGAGAGTATCGTGGGTGGGAGATGTGTGCTGAAAGTGTATAAAGGACCAAACATGTTGACCTCTGAGTATCTGTATTGTAAACCATAATCCCCAAAATGGGAGGAGAAAGGGAGAGAGAGGAAAAGTGCGAGAGAGAAAGGAGGGGGGGAAGTGCCACAGAGAGAGAGAGAGAGAGAGAGAGAGAGAGAGAGTGCCTGCCACAGAGGCAAGCTAGGTTGGGGGAGGGGGTAGTGGCAGGAGAATTATGGGGGACAGTGGTGGGAAATGTACACTGATGGAGGGATGGGTGTTGGAACATTGTATGACTGAAACCCGATCACAGAAGCCTTGTATCTCACAGTTTATTTCACAGTGATTCAATTAAAAAATAAATAAATTTAAACAAATAAATAGATAAAATTCTGGCTCCCTCACTTATCATGTAACCTAGGGCAACTTCCTCAACTTCTGAGTCTCAGTTTCTACTTGTATAAAATAATTTTTCCTTCATAGGACTGTTCTGAAAATCAAATTAGATTGCTCATATAAATAACAAAAGGTAGCACTTAAATGCTGAATATTCTTTATTATTTTATGTTGATTTAGCAAGTAGATGGGGAAGGACCCCAGTGGCTATGAGATTTCTGAGAAGTAATAAAACCAAGAGCTCAACACTGCAAATAGCCCACCTTGTGAGCTCAGGCCTGATAAGAATTTCACCTACAGCCAGCAACAGACCCAGAGAAGGATGAACCTCTCTGAGAGAAGTTCGAGCAGGAACAAAGGGCCAGGAAAGGAATTTCAAAGAAGATCGTTGGACCACTCCCTACTTTGCCCCAGCAGTGGACTTAGGTAGATGCCCCAAAACGAGAGCAGGTTAGGAAAACCCTATAAATGCCACCTTGAACAAAGGAAGGGAGCACATATGCTGCCCGAGCCCAAGTGCGCCCCACGTGGCTGAGCACTTGTGGCATCCAAGCACATGTCTCACCTACATCTCCTCTCTTGAGATGTGTACTTTCACACTTTCATATCTAATGCTGGGATGTGTGTCTCCAGCTTTGGAGAAGCCCACGTTCTTTGTCGAGCATGTTACTCTCTCACTTTCTCTCCCTCCTTCCCCTTCCTAAAAACCTTCAAATAAAAATCTCTTTTTATTTCACTGCTTGTCTACTCTTGAAATTCTTTCCTGAGGTGGGACTAGAACCTGGGTAAAGCTTAGGACTGACTCCTGTAAAGAGCAAATCGTTGCTCCAGCTTGAATCTGTGGCTCCCCAAGAATTCAGGTGGTGTGGATCAACTCCTTTACCAAAAAGACCAAGCAGACATCAGGTGTGGCTTGGGGGGAGGGGGGGCTCACCCATGCTGTGCAGGGGCTCATGGCAGACTTGATCAGTCCTGGACTTCACAGCCTCTGGATGACAGGGATGGATCAGGAGAAAGTGACGTCTTTCTGCCCCTCACTTCACATAATCCACCCTTGGGGCCCACGAACTTCAATGGTAGCTTTGCTCTTTCATGGTAGCTCTTTATTCTTTTTTGTTCTGGGCCATGCTTATCAGTGCTTGGATGTTACTCCTGGAATAGTGTTCAGGGGTTGTTCCTGTTAGTGTTTAGGTGACCATGTTGTGCTGGGGATCAAATCTGGGTTTTGCATATGCAAAGCATGCACTCCAACCCTTTGACCTTTGTCCCAGTCCTTTCTTTCTTTTTAAAGAAATCTAATCTTTAAGGGCTGGAGTGGGTAATCGCTAGAGCACTTAACTTGCACACAGTAAACATGGTTTCAGTCCCCAACACTCCATAAGAGCCATACCAGGAGTGATCCTGAGCACAGAGACAGGAGTAAGTCCTGAGCACAATGAAACAAAAATATCTTTATAAGACATCACGGATCCTGATGTCTAATAAAACTCCTTTTTGAGGAACATAGAATGAATGCCACTGGATATAGGGATAAGTGTCAGACTTCTGTTTGTTCCAGACTCCAGAAGAGATTAACATATATCTGAGACAGCTTAAACAAGCTAACTATATCTTGTACATGTTCCTTAGTTCTATATATATCTGTGAAAGCTAGAGATGCCAAGTAATTCTAACTCTTACCTTCTTTTTCAAAATGACTTATCATATTTCTTGGAGATAGAAGAAACATCAGTTTCATATTCTCTGTTGAAAGTGTTGATGGTTTGAAAATGTTACAGTCCTTTACCCACAAAGTGCTACCAGGAATTGAAGTCTTTCTTCTGAAATCTTATAATAATAACTTCTGTTGCCTTTCTGGTGCTATTATCTTATCTGATGCTTTTTAATATTCATTACATTTATTATTTTTCTCAATGTAAGTCCATCTGTTTTCTTTTCATAGTTCTTATTTTTCTCTTATTAATTCATTTCCTTTTTTTCCCCCCTTTTTTCTGGGCCAGAGCGGGAGCAGGCAGAGGTGGAGTGGGTAGTCACCTTCTCAGTAGTGTTCAAATCCTCTCCTGATATTTCGTGGCCAACCAGCTCAGACAGTTCATGTTAACCTACTCCCTTTTAGTAGCCTAAATCTACAACTCCATTTCTTAGGGGTAGCACGCTTAGTGTACATAAATTTGGAAAACTAAATTTATCACATAGTGTACCATAGTAAAGTAAAAGTAAAGGCCCTCCCATTGATCATCGATTTGCTCGAGCAGGCCCAGTAACGTCTCCATTGGAGACTTTGTTGTTACTGTGTCTGGCACATCGAATACGTCACGGGGAGCTTGCCAGGCTCTGCCGTGCGGGCGAGATACTCTCGGTAGCTTGCCGGGCTCTCCGAGAGGGGCGGAGGAATCGAACTCAGGTCGGCCTTGTTGGCTGCGTGCAAGGCAAACGCCCTACCGCTGTGCTATCGCTCTGAAAAAATTGGTAGACTTTTGGGACTTGATATGGCCTAGGGTGCTCTATGATAAAATATTTTGTCAGCTAAAGAAATAACATGTATATCAAATTAAATCAATGCCCTTATAATAAAATTTTAATATTTTAGTGATTATAAGAAATATATGATATATTCTATTTAGGTCATATTATGGATTTTAAGTGAATAGAATTTCTTATATGCCAGTAGTTTATATTCTTTTTATTGATAAGGAATTTTGCAACCAGGATTAGGTAAACTGTTATGTTGAATGAAGCACAAAAATTTTTATTTAAAAGTTCAATGAATTTTGTCACCTTTTGTAAAATTTTTAAAAGTTAGATGAGTGATAAATTAAACTTTGCAGTCATTTATTCATATAATTATTTGGAACAATTTAGAAGAAATTGTGTATTTATAGCTGAGTTTGTTATTCACACTGAAATGCTAGGTTTGTTAAGCAACCTAATGCATGTGTTTAATAAGTCTCTCTTTGTGAAATAAGAATTACTGAAATAAAGAATTGTTTACAATAGTGACATTACTTCCTCTGTTTGTTTTAGGTATTATTTTAGTACATGACTTAACAAATAAAAAATCATCCCAAAACTTGTACCGTTGGTCATTGGAAGCTCTCAACAGGGATTTGGTGCCAACTGGGGTCTTGGTAACAAATGGGTAAGCCCAGATTACTTTGTAATTGGTTTGAAATGTTGTGTCAATTTCAAGAATATACCCACCAAAATAACATTTTGTAAGATGTTTGATTTGCAATATTTTTTCCAGTCAATAGCTTAACAGTGACCCGGACAAAACAATAGTATTTTATTCTCTTAACTAGTGTCCTTCACAAAACATTGTAGTTAAATTTATTCTCTCAATTCTCATTTTTCACAATGTTTTTTGTGTTATATCTAAAACATTTTGCTTAATCCCAGATCATGGAGATTTTCTGCAATATTTTTCTTCTAGAAGTTTCATGGATTCTTTTATTTTTAGATCTATAATCCATTTTGAGTTAATTACAATGTGCTAGGGTTTGTTGAGATTGACTTTCATATGTGAAAGTCCATTTATCCTAAAGTCCATTTATCCTAACACCATTTGTTAGCAAGATTATCTTATTTCCGTTAAAATGCTTTTACTCCTTTGCCAAAAATCATTTGGTCATATTCACCAGTCTATTTCTCATTCTAATTCTTTTCCTTATAAATTTGTATCTTCGATACTGTCTTGGTTTTTTTTTCTTTTTCAATTTTATTTTCATGAAGTTGTTCACAGTAATTGATTACATTCAATATTTCAACACCAGCAAGCTACTGACAGTATCTCGTCTGCACGGCAAAGCCTGGCAAGCTCCCCATGACGTATTCGCTATGCCAGACACAGTAACAACAAAGTCTCACAATGGAGACGTTACTGGGCCCGCTCGAGAAAAATCAATGAACAATGGGAGGACAGTGACAGTGATTTTAACACCAATCCTACCACCATCATACCTTCCCTCCACCATTATTTAGAATTTTCTTACCACCACCCACACCTGCCACTCAGGCAGATGCTAAATAACTTATCTTGTATTGCTTGTTATGAATAGTACAGGGTGTCTAAAACTTTAAATAATTGGGATCCAGAGACAGCTCTATGGAGAACTGCTGTCTTCCAAGCTTAATTTATGAATCTCTGGCTCACGCCGTTAATACACTCAAATGGCTCCCGGAGGCAGTCCACGGGCATGACAGCCAGGACACGGGATGGGTGGGGAGGGATGGCCCATACCCGCTGCCAAGTGGCCTGGAGTTTTCAGTCACTGGTCCCGCATACCTGGGTTTTTCTACTGGAGTGTTGTGGCCGCCGGGGTTCATTTGGAGGAGGTGGAGAGAAAACGCCTGCTCCATCTGAGGTGCCCCCCGTGAAATCAGCTTGCATGGGGTTTAGAGAAATCTCTGTGGTGAACTCTGTCTTGGTTTTTTTATTATTATAATACATATTAAAAGTAGGCAATGTAATTCCTCCCACGTTATTTCTCTTCAGAATTGTTTAGCTAATTTGCTTCATTTGCCTTTCCAAAATTAGCGTGTTTGTGTGTGTGTGTGTGTGTGTGTGTGTGTGTGTGTGTGTGTCTCGGGAGGGTGGGGGGAGAGAGAGAGAGGTCAGAGAGAGAGAGAGAATATTTACAGATTTACAGATTGTATACATATTATGTTCTGGGGTACAATATCACACTTCTAAATATATGGTACTGTAACATACCTACCACCAGAGTTTCTTCAACCGCAGCACATTTAACCCCCTTCCCACTGTGTTCTTCCCTTCCCCCTCCATTCCATTATCCAAATTCTGTGATCTGAGTTCGGAGGGTTGGTTTGGTTTAGTTTGTCTTGCCTTACTTTGCTTCTTCTTAACCGAACATCAGTGAGATCCATCCTATATTTATCTTTCTCTTAATGACTTACGTCAGGTAGCATGACCCCTTCCAATTTATTAATTTTTGTTATAAAAGCCAGGATTTCATATTTTCTTTAAAATCAGTAATATTCCATGCCAGATTTCTTTCTCACTTAATCTGTTTTGGGGCTCTTAGGTTATTTCCATAGCTAGCAATATTATAAATAGCACTATTGATAACATAGGTATAAATGTATGAATGTATCTTTGTGAATTAGTGGAGTTATTTTGTTTCTTTGCTTTGGAGAGGTCCTCAGCAGTGTCAGGTATTCTCCTGATTCTGTGCTTAGGATCACATCTGGCAGGGTTTGGGAGACCATATGTGGTGCCTGGGATCTGTAGTTTTCCTTATTAAGATGTCCTTGACTGCTTTTCCTTGATGCTACTGCTGGTCTCACAAAATATGTTTGAAGAATTCCTGTCTTCTGTTTTTAGAAGAACTTGAAAATGATAGGTAATAAATTATCCCTGAAGGGTTGGTGGAATTCCAAACCATGTGACTGGGTTTTGTTTTTGAGTAAATTGCTGACTACTGTTTCATTTCCTTTTTGTAAGTGGTGAGTTCAGGTTCTTTGTTTCTTTCTGAGTCTTTCTTGGAAGGTTGTAAATTTAGTGACATAAATTTGTTCATGGTAATCTTTTCTCCCCTTTCATTTCTGTTCATATTTATTAGGGTTTGTTTTGTTTTTGTTTTTGTTAGTGAGCCTTCAACTTATCTATATTGTTAAAATTTCAACTTGAATTATATTGTTAAATGTGTTTAATCTATAGATCAAATTGAATACATTCTTTTCATCTTCCAGTTCATGAGCACAGACATCTTACCAGTTTTTAAAAGTAAATCAAAAACAGCATTTTAACATTTATCTATATGTATACTTACGGTATAACTTTAAAGGATAAGGCTTTTGAAACTTAAAGGAGAATTGTTGCAATAATTAAAATTGGCAGTGATCTTATAGAAACAGTATCTAAAAATATTTTAATCACCATGCTGTTTTCTTAAGTTTCATCTTTAGATCTTCTCTTTCCTTTAATTCAACTTTACGTGGAAGTAGAGGGCTTCTTTGTTCTATATTTTTCCTTTGTTCTGAATATTGCTGAATATATTCTGGTAGTATCTCTTCAACTATAAATGCTAAATCTTTTCTTAAATGGTAATAAAATATAAAATATAAAAGATTACGTATTTTTCATTTTCTTTGATTCCTTACTTTTTCCAAAGTGGTATTTTACATAAAATACTTAACCTGATTGTCTGTCTCTTTTTGATGTTATTATCAGACCTATTCATAATAAAAAAAAATTTATCCTATTTTCAACCTAGTATAAGATGAACAAAAAGTATTTTAAAACAATATAAAATTTAATGAAAAAAGGAAAACTGAAAATAGAAGAGAACAAATTATATTTATGACGACATGTTATATTACATATATAATTCATTAATATGTTTAATGTGCCAAAGATTACACAAGTGACAGGTGTGTATATCAGTGATAATGTTTGATTAAATGTACTATTCAAATTTTTATATGAGCCATAGTCAGTGAATATAGAAAAAGACAATAATTTCAAATACACTCAAAATTTTATTTGCTAATAAAACAGATTTCAGTTTGAGATCATGTCTCCTAAATCATAGTTAATATTGATAAAAATAATTATGGTACTGAATTCAAAGTATTATTTATCTTGATATAATAAATAGAATATAATTTGGGGGATAGGGCCACACCTGGCCATGCTCAGGGCTTATTCCTAATAAGGGCTGATGTTCTCAGGGATCACTTCTGGTAGTACTCAGGAACTATATGGGATGCCAGGGATCAATTCTGAGTTAACCGCATTTAAGACAAGCACCCTACTTGCTTTATTATCTCTGCAGACCCATAATAATATTTTTGAAGCAGGAATTTACATCGTTCAAAACCAAGCATTAACAGCTTCTGTAATATTACTGCAAAAGGCAAAAAAATGTTGTAATATTTTATATACAATGTAGGATTATTCAAAAAAATAAAAGTAATATCAAAAGAAGAAAATAAGCTGTGCTCAACTGGGTTATATTGATTAGGTTATGCAATATTTCTATAAATGTTATAAGTTGTTGGCAACCATATTTTGCTTACTTTATGTAAATTCGGCTTACATGTCAGTATCCAAACTCATTTTATTCCTCATGTGTGACTAGAATCTATTTTAATAGCATTGGAAATTTCATTCTTTTCATTAATGGAAAGAACACCAGTCTCTTCTTACTTCTTTCCTTTTACTACTCATTTTGCAGTGTAACTATTTTCTTCCCTTGTCGTATGTTGAATCTGTCTTTCCCCAGGCTATAGCATCACCTATGGTCAATTTGTTCTGGCCTTAAGCATCCCTATATTTTATTTTCCTGAAATGATCTACTTTTCTTTAATACTCGTATACAGAAATATACTCAGATACAGAGATTATGCATACTCCAGAAGGCACTCAAAAGTCTTTTTTTTTAACCTCACACAAGACTTGAGAACAGTGGATTCCTGAATTTTTCTCTCCACTGAGGGTTAAATTGCTCTGTGCATCTATGTAGAAAAATTCCTGTGCTGGTAAAGACAGAGCTTCCATCAATTCAGCCTATCCGGTCTATCTGGTGGGCACTATGTTACTAGAAGTGTCTATAAGGACTTGTGAGAACATTTGAGTGGTTAAATGAAAAATTGGAACTTAATACACAGTAAAGGTGGATTAATATATGAACAAGTAAATGAAAGTTTTTTGAAGAAAAAAAGTTTTTTGGTAATGGATAAGTAAGAGTCAATAAAGTACCATTTCAAGGTTAGACTTCTACATCAGAAATGTAAATTCTATTCTGCTTATTGTTATTTATCACAGGGATTATGACCGGGAACAGTTTGCTGATAACCAAATCCCACTGTTAGTAATAGGAACTAAATTGGACCAGATCCATGAAACCAAGCGCCATGAAGTTTTAACTAGGACTGCTTTCCTGGCTGAGGACTTCATTGCAGAGGAAATTAACTTGGTGTGTATTTTCAAAAATGCATGTTTGTATTATAATCAGGTAAAGTCAAAATATATAACTCACAAGTCATATATTCTTGAAATAATAGCTGTGCTTCAAATCAAGCTATTTAGGGTCTAATTCAAAATGTCGTGAAGATTGGAATTAATATGTATTGTCAGGTGGGCAGATCATTTCAATCTCCTTATATATTGTTCTGTTAGAGTGTTCAAACTCTATTCTATAAAATAAAATTCCTGGGCTTTTTCTTGAAAAATTTTTTTAAAATAACATCCACTGGTGGGTCACTGCTTTTTCACACTGCATCTTGATTATTCTTGTTTTAGAAAAGCCTCTTCATAAATTATAGAATTTACTTAAAGATTTCAAATCAATAACAAGAAAATTATAAACTCTAGCAATGCATGTATTATCTTACATGCATTGTCTGACATGTTCCCTTTACTTAATTACTGTTATTATACCCATTTGAAAAAGGAAAATTGAAATCACTGTGAAATGTAAGCCTAGCACTCTGATCTTAGAGCCTGTGTTTTACTATAAGCATATTAAACTTAATTCTCCTTCTAATATTTAGAATTTAAAGCTAAAATAATTCTCAGAAATCTGGATCATGGCTGTTGATACGCTGAGATGGTACCTAAGGGCAGATCATGGCCATGACAGCCAAGACCTGAAGCACTGGGGTTGCAGGGAGGGCCAGCCAGAGTCTCCACTGCTGCCTTGTGGCCTGGAGTCTTGTCCTAGAACCTGCGTACCTGGGTTTTGCTTCTGGAAGCTCATGGCCACCAGGGTTTCATATGGAGTAGGCTGAGAGGACACACCCGCTCCATCTGAGGTGCCCCCATAGAATTAGCTCGATATGGGGTCCCGAGGGATCTCTCATGAGCTGCTTTCTTCTGGAATTACTGCTGTGTCTCTGGATCACGTTCTGCCTCCGGGCACCATCTCAGCACATTGACCTTGATCCAGAGACACAGCAGTGAATCCCGGTAGACAGCAGCTTGCTGGAGTCCTTGGGGTTGTGGTTGTCACAGCCGCAATCTGCCTCCAGGTGCCATCTCAGCACATCAACGGCCTTGATCCAGAGACTCCAAAATGAATCCCAATATGGATTAGCTTCCTACAAAGATGTCTCTGGACCGCAACCATTTACAATTTTAGAATCCCAGAAGGTATGACCTCTCATGATATTCATAATAAGCAATAGAAAATAAATTATCTGGCATCTACCCCTGTCAGGCAGACTTGAATGGTGTTGGGAAAATTAAAAGAAACCATAATGCCCCAAAGTAGAAAGAGTATGGGGGGAATTGTCTGCCATAGAGGCAGGGAGAGGGCTCTGATGGGGACAAGGGGGGAGGATGCTAGGGACATTGGTGATGGAATATGTGTGCTGGTGGAGAGATGGGTATTCAATCATATGACTGAAACTCAAACATGAAAGCTTTGTAACTGTATCTCACGGTGATTCAAAAAAAAAAAAAAAGAAATGATCCAGATCAACAGTTACCCAAACTTGATGGCGTGTATCAGTAGTACTATTACCAATAGTATGTGAAAATTTTTGAGTGCCTGCCCCACAGCTTAGACTTTTTATTTTGAAGTTCTGACAGGAGGACCAGGACTTTGAAAATGACTCACATAGTTTTGACGCTTTTGTAATGTGAATTGACTTTTATGAACTATACTTAAGTCAGCCTCTCCTCTACTTAGTCAGCTTCTGACTTCCATTGTTTAATGCATTCTACTTTGCAGTGGAGGAGCCTTATTTTTAGAGCCTCCATTCTGTTAAGCTGCCATCGTTGAATATTTGAAATTCCCCAGGTCATTGGAACTGGACCATGATATTCCAGAGGATTCTTACTACATGGGATATAAAATATCTGTGTTAAAAATGAATGTTTATTTGAACATTATTTCCACAATTATGGAAATATTTATCACTAAATGCACTAATTTTTTAATGATGAAAAAATTTTTGTTGTTGAAGTAACATAATTACAATAGTGTTAACATTTGTAACTTTTGATGTACAAAGTCACTGTACCTTCACCACCACCAAAGTGCCAAAGAGCTGTCCTGATGTTACTCCTAATCAATCTTTTAGTAACCCCCTTATACTAACTTCTCGCCCCCACTGTTTGGTAATCTTGGTTCTGTAATGGAAGTCCAAGAGTTTGTATCATTTGGTACTGTCTATTATCTTTCTTTGTTTTTTATTTTTTATTTACCACATTGGAGTGCAATCATCCAGTATGGTACTTCATCTGACTTCTTTTGTTTAACATGATACCTTGACTTCCATTCATCAGTGATAAATGTATTTTATGTTACATCTATTTCTAGTACTTGGATTTCTTTGAAATTTACCTTCATGTATGTTTTTCCTACTTTACTTTCTTAGGTAGGGACATCTTTTCATTGTTAATAAGATGCAAAAATACTCAAATGTTACTTTGGCACATATCCTTAGCAGAATTTATATATAATCTTGTCCTTTCATCAGTTTATAACTTCAGGAAACAACAAGAGGCTCCTGAGGGTGCAGAGAAGGAAAATTGGATAAAATTTCAAAAAGAGAAAGAAGCAAATAGGAAGCCTTGAATTAAAAAATAAACAGAGTACCTATTAGTGCTTATATATTTGATAACTATGTGTTTACTTAAAATTACAGAAAAGTATGGTGTCAGAGAGAGAGTACAGAAGGTAGAGTATTAGCCTGTTAAGTGCCCAACCTGAGTTCGATCCCCGGCACATCTTATGATCCTCCAAACCTTCCAAGAGTGACCCCTAAGCACAGAGCCAGGATAAGCCCTGACTACCACCAGGTGTGGGCCAAACCCCCCCCACCCAAATATAATTTTTTAAAAACTTACAGAAAGTAATAGCATATATGTATACATCAAATATGAAATAAAAGTTATCACCTTTGCATAAGGAGAAGGAAAATTTGTTTAAAGTATGAAAGATAAATCATTTAAAAAATTTTTACTAAGCTGGGGCTGGAGAGATAGTACAGCAGATTGGGCACTTGCCTTGCACAGGAGTGACCTGAGTTTGATCCCTGGCACCCCATATGGTCCCCTGAGCCCACCAGAGCCCACCAGGCATGTCCCTGAGCACAGAGCTAAGAGTAAACCCTAAATACCACCATAACAAAAATATTCTGTTAACCTTATTTTGTCTAGTACAAGTTATTCTCTATTATGTCTTTATTTCTACTTAGAATCATAATCATGTGATCACAGAATCACATGACTATATTGAAGTATCTTACCTAGTTAATATTTCTTTCTCAAGTTTGGCAATCTGTTCAAAGGATTTTTTTCCGGCTTTGTCCTCAGCCATGATCAATAGCAGATGCTTTTTCTAGCTTCAAAATTCTTATTCTATAATCATGATTCTTTCAACTTTAAAATTCCATTCTAGTTTACTTGAAATTGTCAAACCTTGGGCACTTTCGTGGTAGAGAAAGTGCAATAATTTTGTACATCAAAACCACGAAAGTTAACACTATTGTAACCAATCCAATCTACAATTTTTAAAAAAATAATGATTTTAGAAGAAGACTTTCTTTCTTTCTTTCTTTCTTTCTTTCTTTCTTTCTTTCTTTTCTTTCTTTCTTTTTTCCTGTTAGATTTACTCTATGCTCATTGGGATTTAGTCAATTGATTGGGAATCATTTCTGAATTGGACATTCTGGTGACTAAGTAATTAGTACTTGTTTTTTGAAACATTCCTAACAGAAGTCTCTCCAAGGTTTGTATTTTATAAGCCACAAATGCTGTATGATTATGTTCAAGCAGTTTTCATGAAGGTACTTCTTTTTATTTAATCCATATAAGGAATCATCTTTTTAATATATTAAGTGCTTTTGTGTCTGAAAATTCAGTCTGATAGCATTTGTTAGAAGAAAGAGGAAAAGTAACTAGTTTATCAGTGTCTCCTATATACCAGACATGCATTATTTCACTTAAGTTTTACAAAAAATCCTGTGGACGGCTGGAGTGATAGTACACTTGGGAGGGCGTTTGCCTTGCATGCGGCCAACACGGGTTCGATCCTCAGAATCCCATATGGGGACAAGCACCGCCAGAGGTAATTCCTGAGTTCAGAGCCAGGAGTAGCCCTTGACCATTGTCAGATGTGACCCAAAAAGGAAAAAGAATAAAAAAAACCTTTGGCACAAATATTGTTATTCCCATTTCACAAGTGAATAAACTCAATTTAAAGATTTACCAACCTACTAGTGTGATGTAGTCTAGAAATGTTGGGCTAGGTGGTAAGCTTCAGAACTTGTTGGTTTTGAAATCCTAATGTTTCTATTTCCCTGTAAACTTTAGGCTGATTTTTATATGGTTTTGGAAAATGTATGATAATTTCCACAGAAAATGTATGATAATTTCCAGCCAAAATTTGAAATGTGAGTCTGAAGTGTTGTATGTGGATAAAATAGGTGATTGCTTTCAAAATTCACTGGAAAGGAATCAAATTGACTTTGAGTTTACAAAATAGAATAAATGCAATGCAATAATTTCCCAGGAGACATATAATCTACAACTGCAACCAAAGAAAAACATCATCTTTGCAAAGGGACTTAAATGACATACTCATACTTTGATCTTAGATGCCAGTTGAGGTAAAAATCAGAGTATTCAATCTCTTTTGGTGGCAAGTAAGTCAGTGAACAAGCAATGGCAGCACAGCACTGAAATTCCAAGGACAAAAACCGTTTAAAGTCTTTACTATTCACTGTAACTTACTGATTAGTGTTCCAGATTATTTTGACTCTTCTGGACCTCATTTTTCCCCCATCTTATAAAAATTGTATTTAATGATAATATGCCTGTTTATTATTAAATAGTGAAATTAATACATATTAATTTCACTATTTAATAGTGAAGACCTCCAGAACCAGCCACCACCATGCTGAGACCACTCTCCGCACACATGAAGGTACCGGCAGAGGAACAAAGGCACGCGGATCCCGGGGCTGAGATCTCCAAGCCTACTCGGATCGGGGCTGAGCATCCTCCACCCAGATCTTCCAAATTCCAGTAGGCGGGGGTCACACCCACCAGCTGGCCCCCTGGCGCCGTGTAATCCCATCAACGGCCAAGACTCAGAGACTATGGAAACCAGCTCCCGGAAGAAGAACAGTGCAGCCTCCTGCCCCCGCGCCTGACTGTCCTCGCCGCTGGGGCCCCTTGGAGGGGAGCGGGTTGAGCTTTCCTCCCCGCCCCAACCAGGGCTCCAGCAGCCACAGACCTCCAGAACCAGCCACCACCATGCTGAGACCACTCTCCGCACACATGAAGGTACTGGCAGAGGAACAAAGGCACGTGGATCCCGGGGCTGAGATCTCCAAGCCTACTTTGATCGGGGCTGAGCATCCTCCACCCAGATCCTCCAAATTCCAGTAGGCGGGGGTCACACCCACCAACTGGCCCCCTGGCGCTGTGTAATCCCATCAACGGCCAAGACTCAGAGACTTTAAAACCCAACTCCCGGAAGCGTGCTGCCACATTCGCGGCCGTGCGAAATCTTATCATCTCATTCCTACTTTGGACAAACTGGCAGGCTACCGTATGGAACCTGCCCACACGGCTGAGTCTGGCAAACTCCCCGTGACATACCCAATGTGCCAAATACCAGTAACAATGAAGGGTCTCATTCTCCTAACTCTGAAAGAGCCTTGAATATGGCACTTTTTTTAAAAAAATCTCAGGGCTAGGACGAAGGAGACGTTACTGCAGCCTGCTCGAGGCAATCGACGAATAACAGGATGGTTGTGATTAATACATATTAAAAGTTTGTTCTAACTTCTTATAAATAACAAAAGATGTAACTTTTAAAAATATTTTTAATATATTACATAGTTAAACTGTTTAATACTATATTGTCAATTATTTATTATCTTTATAACATTCCAAGAGAAGTAGTACCTTGCATCCAATGAGTGAGAAATTCCTGGCATTTGTTCTTTTTATTCCCAATTCCTTATTTTCATACATCCTGCTATTTGTGTCAACTGCCTAAAACTTGGTTAAATATAGTACTAAAAAGTGAAGTGTTAAATATTTTAATGGCTCAATTTCTGCTTTCCAGGTTAAATATAGATAAGTCACCTCATAAGTATTTTGGTTTTGTTACTAATACAGTGTTCACAATTTTGTATTCATTTATGAACTGCTTGATAATATAGTTGTCTCCATTCTTGATAAAATTGGACACTTACATTGGTTCAGCATTCTCCAGAGTTGTTTAAATAGTTAAAAGTTAGGACCTTTTTTTCCTATAGTCCTTCTGCTGCGCATCGTTATATGAAAATTAGTTCAGTATCTTATGAGAACTTTATAATATTTTGCTATAGAAATATGCAGCAGGAGCATAATAGCAAAGGGCTTATGCTTTCTAATTTTTAATTGTGACTCTTATATTTTTATCTTTTAGGACTGCACAAATCCACGATATTTAGCTGCAGGTTCTTCCAATGCTGTCAAGCTCAGTAGGTTTTTTGATAAGGTAATGGCTTCAATTAAGTTATTTTAAGCTTAATTTATATCAAAAGAGTTTAAATTCTTTGTACAATGTTTTTTGTCCCATTATTCCTTTGTCCTGAACTTCATGACCGAATAATACTTGTTTTGATCTCTCTTATCTGTTGATGTAATTGCTCAAGGCCAGCTGACGTATTTATTCTATCATCAGTGTTTTCTAAGCAAAGGATGAAAGCTACTTGGTTTGAAGTAGGTTTATTTAAAAAGGTACCCAATTCCCTTCCATAAAGCAATTTCTTTCCCCATTTTCTACTCTTGTATGTGTTCACTCCTCCCTTACACTCAACAAAAGAAACACTAAACTGTGGAACATTACAGAATTAAAATCCTGAGTCCTTTTTGCATTCCCAGCTATTATTTTCCACATAAACATTGCTACTATTCAGATTATAGCATCGACTTGATTTCATAATATTTTATAATATTTACATATGGGAAATTTTGCATTCCAGCTTTTTACCCTTTGCTATCGTCTGTTGTCCTGATCAGAATGAAAATGTAGGATGACTCAGCATATTAGAGTGGAGTTTATCTTTCTTTCATGAGGTCCTACAGCTGTACTGCACATAGTATCGTCAAACTTAAATTTTTTGCTCCGTGTTGACAATGTATAAATGTCAATGTATTTTGATATGTATTACTAAAAATTTCCTCCTCATAACTTTTTTGAATCAATTTTCTTTTAGCTGTTTAAGGATCTAATATTTTACCCTTTTGTCCAATATATCAATAAAATAAGCCCCATACCTGTTTCTGTGTGACATTAGACCTCTTGGAAATTTTTGCATCATTGCAGAACTTCCCCTCAGCATTAAGATATTGATCCCCTCAGTTCTCAGATTCCCTCAGGCTGAGTAAGTGGCAGCCTCTTCCATTTACCCTAGGGAGGTGTATAAACACTATCATTTTATAACAGTACCATGACTTGGAAGTTGGGAAGCCTACTGTGAACCAGATTTTCTTTTCATATTGTTTTCAAGGTTAAAATATATGAATTTCCCTTTGGTTCAGATCCTCAACTTACATCTGATAAGAAATTCTATCCCCTAGGAACAATATACTAATGCTCTGTGTCTCAGGTGAAAAATCCCAGTTTTAGACAGAGAAAGAATCCAAATTTTTATTAAAAAAAAAAAAATACATATTAGAGAGCCAGAGAGATAGTATAGTGTGTAGGTACTTACTTTGCATGTGTCTGACCCAGGTTTGATCCTTAACACCCCATAAGCCCCAAAAACAGAAAATAAGAGAAAATGTTAAGTCTGCCTTGATGAGGAGTGATCCCAGAGTGTAAAGCCAGGAGTAAGCCCTGAGAACAGGTGGGTATTGCCAAAAAGTCGATATATGTGTATATATATGCATATTAGCTAGAAATGAACTCCATAACTCCTTTAGTTTGCTTTGTTTTCCAAATGATCAACTAAGGATAGTTCTAAATTTGCTGAATTAAGGGTGCAGATTAAGTTCTTAATAAGTTAATAGATTGCTTTTAATGTTTTGATATTTCTCACCCTTAAGGAGTTACAGTATTTATCACTGTTTGCTAGAGGCAAATTCCTCTTTGAGTGGTAGTAAATAGGCTTTGCTTTTTACCTTTTGAATTCTGTTAGGTATCTTTTAGGACCAACTGCTAGAAAACACAGAACCAAATTTGCTGTCATTAAAATTGCTAATTACGTCTTTCTCTAATAAGTTGTTTCTGTTTATATTTTGATCTGTTGTTTAATACTTGTACACTATAAGAGCCTCCTTATGAAAATACTCTTCTAATACAGAACATTTTCTTCATTGTACTAATATCTATGACCACTGAAAAATATCTTAATTTGGATATATGCCTATTGTTCCATCAGTAGTCATTGCAGTAGCTACTTTTTCTGGCATGCTAAATCCTTAAAATCTTTCTTTTTCACAGGTCATAGAGAAGAGATACTTTTTAAAAGAAGGTAATCAGGTCAGTATCTTTTCATAATAAAATGCATCATTAAATTTGAAGAGAGGTGATTTCTAAGTGTATTTATATAGGTAATTAAAAATGAAAAAAGTGAGGGAAGTCCTTTGTAGCCATAAGCAACTGTCCTGTTAACTACAAAAACAATTCAACCAAGGGTACAATCTAAGAAGGGAAAAAAAGGATATACGAATCAGATTACAGTTTAAAATGATAGAAAAATATAATTTTTTCTTCTTTTGCTTGATATTCAGAGGCTGACACAATGCAAACAGTTCATTAAAAAGTCCAATAGAAGACATTATGAAAATCACTTTCATTCTCTTTGATTTAACGAACAACAGGATGGTCGTGATCACCCATTTATTAGCAAGTGTTTTCCACCTTGGTACAATTTATTTTTATTACTTAATCTGCGTAAGTTTTCTAAGTAAAGCCTCAGAATGGTAGTTTTTTAAGTATCACAGGCCAACATACAAAAACAAAAAAATAAGAGGGAAATGTTAAGGCTGCCTGCATGAAACTTAAATGTGATTATCTCCCTTGCCTACAGATTCCAGGCTTTTCTGATCGAAAAAGATTTGGAGGAGGAACATTAAAGAGCCTTCATTATGACTGAATTACACTCACCCTTTGGAAGAGTGAGCAATCAGCGAAAGTTTTCCACAGTCGTCCTTTTACTCTGCTGATTATTAATGTCTCGGCCTTTCAACAAAATCATCTTAAAATGCTACCCGTCAGCCTCACCATTTTAATGGAAAGTGAAAGGAAGCGACAGTGTGGGAGGTCCAAACTTGTCCCCATTTTCTCTGTTCCTCACCTTTCTGTCCCTGTTTATAGGTTACATAAAAGCCTTGTGGATACATGAGGATGTTGTCAGATGCCGTAAATGAGCAGTGACAAAGTGGTGCAGAGAAAATTTACTCTTGCTTAGAACTGGAGGATTTTTATAGGTCTGTAATTTTCCCACACTCATTGCTGAAGGCTTAATTAAGTACTTCAAAAATGTGTCTCTATTGTTTTACCTTCTCGAGGGGAAAGGTTATGTTAACCAGCCCTGAATTGTCCACCCCAAATAATCTCTGTCATTTTCAAAGAAGCAAAATGGTGTTATTTAATTGTCTCCACCCTCATCACACATGAGAATGCCTAATAATAGTAACCCTGTCTCCCCCTCCTCTCCTTTGCAAATGGCTCAGTGGCTGGAAGAGGCGGACTAATAGCTAGAGTTAAATATAAATAGATTATTAATACATAGAGAACAGCAGTACCAGAAAAGAAGAATTCTATAAGAAATTGACAGCCCACTAAATCCTTCACTCATCAGGCTACAGCTGTCTGCATTTTCATTGTTTTCTGTTTGGATATAGATAGGGTAAAATCGAAGACCTGTGCAAGAATAGCAGAGAAATTTCCTCCCCCTTTTTCCTGGGAGGGGAATTGGGGGAGTCATCCACATAGTTCTCAGGAACCCCCAGCAGCCGCTCCCAGCAATAAGACAGTTTGATGCTAGGACCTGAGGCCGTGGTACTGCTTGGTCCCTGTAGTGCCATGGACCAGCAGGGATACCCCATCAGTGCTCAGCAGCCTCCAGTGCTCTAGCCACTGATGCCTGCGGGCCTCTAGGGCTACACCAAGCAATGCTTAGGAGGTCGTGCAATGCTAGGGATGAAATATTCTCTGTGTCTACAATGTAATTTTGGAAAGAAGTAAAAAGGCGTACCACAGCAAAATTTACATGAATTATGGACTAGAAGTTTTAGATTTCATGACCCATCAGGTTGGGAGGTGGGGTGGAGGAATGGGTTTATGTGCACAATTGTTCAGTGTTACTTTTATTTTAACCATCTTATTTTGCTTTTCTGACCTCTCTGCTCTCATTCTTTTCAATATTTTAACCTGGTTTGCAAAAACAAATTGACCGCCTCATCCAATGCACCTTTATATCCACAGTCTTTCTCTGGTTCTGCTGCTGATTGTTAAAATAAAATAACAAATATACAGTTTTGCATTCTCATTCTTAAAACTGGAAGAGGAAACTACTTTCTGTTCCATTTGAATTAGATTTTACAAGTACTTTGAAAGAGGATTTTAAAATAAGAATGCCAGAGTGCTCTTTTAGAGGGACAATCTAAAATGCTTCCCTTCAGCCTCACCTTTTTATTTATTTATTTTTTAATTTTTCTTAGTGAAACACCTTAGGGTACAGCTGTAGACTTACAGATTTTTGTGCTTGGGTTTCAATTATACAATGATCGAGTACCCATCCCTCCACCAGTGCCCATTTTCCACCACCACTGATCCCAGTACCCCAGCCTCCCCTTTTTAATGGAATGTTTAAATGGAAATATGGGAAAGGATGTTTGGAGCACTTTTCACCAGGTAAAATATTCCCTAGTCTTTCTTAACATCCTCCTCCACAAGAGATGATCCTAGTTCCTTGTTTATTTCTGACATAAAGGAGAACTATGCAAATCAAGATCTGTGTGTGGAATTTGGCATAAATGTGTTGTGATAGGGCTGTGTAGAAACCAAATAATATGCAAAGACCTAAACCAACTAAAGTTCTTTGTGTTCCTCATCTAAAAATTAAAATCAAACGGTAGGTCCAGTATCCAACTAAGGAGAACCTACATTTATAGCCTCCTGCAATGACTGCAAATTCTTTTTTTAAAAAAAATAATTTGGGGGGCTGTGGTGCCGCCAGCAGGTCAATCTGTACCTGTGAGGCAAGTGTGTCAGCAACCTCATGGCGCCTTCAGACTTCCAGAGACCCCGAAATTACTGCTGTGCCTTTGGCCAGACCCCAAAAACCTGGGGCAAACTTTACCAAGAAAGTAAACGGCCAAAAGTTAGGTAAGTGGGAGACACAACCACAAACCACTTCCAGCTGAGGTGGTAGTTTATATAATTGGAGGCAAGGCCTCTCTGGTTCCTGATCTAACTGTTTAATGGCCATGATCCCTGAGACTCAGAAACAAATCTTGAAACCCAGCAGCTTTTGGCAGAAATGCATGTGGACCGCTCAGTAGGTTACTGTTGCCGGGCCACCCCAATGGGGAAAGGATGTTGTCCCTCCACCTGATCCTCCTAGACAGCTCGGTGAATGCCATCTTCCAGAAGCCATTGGACAATTTGGTTTCGACCCAATGTGACGAGACACACAGGGCCTCACGGGATGGGGGTGGAGCTGGCCCTTTCCTCCTTGTCCCAACGAGACCATGAGCCGGCCCTTTCCTCCCCATCCCAACGAGACCCCAGTCACCACCCATGAACGGCCTCTATGGCTCCTGATTAAGCTGCTTACTGGCTATGATCCCAGAGACTCAGGAACAAATCTCAGAACCTAGCAGGTTTTGGCAAGAAATCCCTCCAGATTTAATTGTTGAAATTTCGAAATTTCAAAATCACGCAGCCACTACTGCAGCCATGCAGCATCATATGTTATTCATAAACAGTAATAGAAAACAAATTTTCTACTGTTGCCTTTTCAGCAGATCTGAGTGTTGGGATAAAATCCCAAATAATAATGGTGGGCGTGGTGTGGGAATGTTGAGTGTAATCAAAGTATAAGGTAAGGTAAAGGTAAAGGCCCTCCCGTTGATCGTCGATTTGCTCGAGCGGGCCCAGTAGCGTCTCCATTGGAGATTTTGTTGTTACTGTGTCTGGCATATCGAATATGACACGGGGAGCTTGCCAGGCTCTGCTGTGCGGGCGAGATACTCTCGGTAGCTTGCCAGGCTCTCCGAGAGGGGCGGAGGAATCGAACTCGGGTCGGCCATGTTGGCCGCTTGTAAGGCGAACGCCCTACCTCTGTGCTATCGCTCCAGCCCAATCAAAGTATAGAGAGAGTAATTTGGAAATCATCTGCCCCACATGTATGGGGAATGTGTGGGATGGGGGTATACTGGGGATTTTGGTGGTGGATAGTGGGCACTGGTGAAGGTATAGGTGTTTCATTGTATGACCGAGACTTAAACCTAAAAGCTTTGTAACTGACCTTACAGTGATTCAATATATAAAATTATAAAAAATGGGAAAAAAAAGTAAGGCAGAGTTCATGCACAGTTCAATCAGCCTAATCAGTGGCTGAATAAATAGCAGTACTCCTACATAAAAAAATAAAAATAATAATTTTGACTAACACAAATTCTAAACCAAAATTTTAATTAATCACATATTAATTCAGAATGGTAGCTGAAGTATCAGTGAACAAGGATGGAAGGAAAGCTCCCATATAGACTGGAGATAATCCCTTTTGCCAAAAAAGAAGCCCCATCATGGAGTAACACACTAACTGGAAGAGATTTCTCAGGTGTGCGCTTTGCCCAGTAAATATGACACAGCCTTGTGATCCAAGAGTTATAAGACTGGAACAGGAAATAAAGGAATTATAGGCATAAATAGGGGACAGAGTCACAATAGGCATCATTTAGGTAATCTCTCACAAACTTTCATTTGGTATCCAGTTGCCATAGTAACTCACCATTTTGACAACCTATTCCCAATTTGACTGCTGAATGTCAAATATTTGATTGCAGTTATAGTAGTAATACCAGCAGGTACTATTTTGGAAATTTCTTACAATTTGGCTGGTGGATGCCATATTATAGTTATTTTCACACACTGCTCCATGAACCGGTACTTCTGCAAGTGTACATTGAAAACCACTTCCATACTGGATTTGTCTTAGTAGCAGACCGTGAAGTCAAATTGATATGGTGAGTGTCACCTATGCTTATGCTGACCTAATAGCTAGCAGCCCCTTCATACTACATTTAACTGCTAGCAAGGAAACCTCACCTTGTAAACCTCAGAAAACACCTTGCATAGCCCAGGAGATAACAGAAGGGTTAAGATGCTTGCCTTGCATGGGCCCAATCCCAGTTCGACCCCAGCGCTACATATGAGCCTCCAAGCACCACTCTGAGCCATCCCTAAACACAGAGTTAGGAGCCAGCCCTGAGTACTGCTGGTTGTGGCCCAAAAACAGAAACAATGCACATTTCAGATCTTCCGAACCATAGATAGCCAACAAAGGGGGGGGGGGGGGAGGAGCTCCTATTTTTCTTCTACTTCTCACTCAACCCTGTGAATATTTTTTTTAGTTTGGGGGCCGCACCTAGTGGTGCTCGGTAGTGATATCTGGCTCTGTGCTCAGGAATCATTCCTGGAAGTACTCAGGAAACCATTTTAAATGTGAGGAATCAAAGCTGGTTCACCTTCATGCAAAGCAAGCACCCCACCCACTGTACTCAGGCCTTTCAACTTACTCTTAACCCACACCCTACAATTTCTCCAGCCATGTCCAGACCTGTGTGACCACAACAGATCATTGAATCTCTGGTTACAACTCAGATCCTCTAAATCTAGACCACTAACAGCCTCTATGCATTTTATTTTGAACCTCAAATCACTCCCAGGACATTTGACTTTGGTGCACAGTTTTGTACCCCTGGTTGTCCTTGGTATACAGTTACTCCTGTGCACTCTTGTGCTCATACTCCTGGTCTCTCTTCTATGGAAACCAGATGAATGCCCCAAGCATCAGCAATCTTGTACCTCAGGTCACCACCTACCCCCAGCCCCTAAGGCCTGTTGAAACTTGTCATAGAGCTTTTACAGGCACCTGTGACTGCATAGCCCTGGTCAGCATCCAGGCCTGCTCAAACATGGTACATAGGGCCCTGGGGCATTGGTAAACTTGAACCTGGGGTCACAACCCAGCTGTGTTTGAACTTGATGTACAGGTGTCCCTGGCACTCGAGATCTAACTATCGGTCACTACCCAGGACTATCCAACTTTGGTGCACTGGTATTCCTGCGCACCTACAAATTTGAACATTCAGTTCAGACAGAGTCAAATATGATCCCTCTCAGATCTTACAAAACACAATTCCATACTACGTGATACATTGGCACTACAGTTGCTGCTAAGTGCTTGTAAATACAAAACCCACATAACAACAAATATCTGACCGGTATTTCATCTGCTAGTGGGCATTTGAGACCATCAGCCTCTAGTTGCTGCCCAGTTCCACTTGACTTTGACACCACAGCCACTCTGGTCGCTGAGCAGTTGAACCTTCCATTGCTGTTTAGGCTGGTAGCACCTTGGTGCAGGAGTTGCTTACAGACCACTTGTGACCACAAATTCCCGGTAGTCATTCAGGACTACACAAACTCAAAGGCACAGCAACTCTCTGGAATTTGCAATTACAAATCCAGTATCATCACCCAGACCTGCTTGAGCACTGAACCTCACCCCTTGGCCTGGCCTAGCTCAAGACAAATGAAGAAATGGAGATATTCAAACATGATGATGGATGAAGGAAAATTTTGGAAAAAACAAGCACAACTGAGCATTCTAAACTTCCTGATGAAGTCTTTAAAGAAATGATGGTAATTATGTTTGCTGAAATGGGGAAAATCAATGGAGAAATACTTCAACAAGGACAGGGAAAGCAATGAGAAAAACTCAAAGAGAAATCATTGTCACTGTCCTCCCGTTGTTCATCAATTTGCTTGAGCGGGCCCAGTAACGTCTCCATCGTGAGACTTGTTGTTACTGTGTTTGGCATATGGAATACGTCACGGGTAGCTTGCCAGGCTCTGCCGTGTGGGCGAGATACTCTTGGTAGCTTGCCGGGCTCTCCGAGAGGGGCAGAGGAATCGAACTCAGGTCTTGAGTTAAATACAGGGGCTGTACTTAAAATGAAAGGATTGAACAGCAGGATCAGACGCAAAAGAATGACTCAGTAAGCTTGAAGAATAAGGTAGAGGAAATTATCAAAAAATAAAACGAGTGAAGGGTCCATTATTAGATTAGTTGGAAATGAACACTCTGGACAGGAACTGAGTGTTGAAAGTAGATAAAGGGATATTCATGATAACCTTTCAGCATCTGTATTGCAAACCATAATGCCTAAAATGAGAGAGAAAAAGAGAGAGAAGAGAGGTGTCTGCCATAGAGGCAGGCAGGTGTAGAAGTGGGGGCCTCAGAAGAGTGAGAGGGAAA